GAGATGAGCTGAATAACATTATCGTACACTTTTACTTAATTAAAAACATTATACCCAACCATCTATAGAATATTTATTTTTTAAATATACATAATATATTTCACAAAATTCTTAATAGATATCATGATGAATAAATTTAGAAGGACATAAAATACACAGACTATGTATTTGGCTGAAATGGAATTCAACTAGAAATCAATGATAAGATATCAAGAAAAATCCCAAATATCAGAAAATTAAACAATACACTACTAAATAATTCATGAATCAAAAATAAAGAAGATAATTACAAAACAATTTTGAAAAAGAGAGAGAACATACATCATTCAACATACCAGAAAAGAGAGATTACCACTACAAATCTTGCAGCTATCAGAAGGATCATAATATTACAAACCACGGTATACCAGAAACATTTGATAATATAGATATAATATATGAGTTTTTTGAGAAGTACAACTTACCAATAATGATCAAAATAAAAATCCAAATATTCCTACATTTATTAAAGAAATATTATTTGTTACTGAAAACCTACCCACAAACAATACTACATATGCTTACACAGGTGAAGTATACCAAACATTTAAAGGAAAAGAAACTAATTTTCAGACAATATAAGACAAGGAAACTTTTACCAACTCATTTTACAAGGCCAGTATAACCTAAATATCAAAACATAAGTAAGACCAGCAGTTCCCAACCTTTTTGGCACCAGGGACTGGTTTCATGGAAGACAATTTTTCCATGGACTGAGTGTGAGGAGATGGAGGATGGTGGGTAGGGGGAAGGTGATGGAGAGCTCAGGATGTGATATGTGGCCCATTTCATAGCAGGCCAAAGATCAGTACTGGGCCATGGCCCCAGGGCGTTGGGGACAGCACAGTAAGACATTACAAAAAAAAAAAAATAGAGATTTTAAGATTATTTTTTTAGCAGATGACAGAACTTCAAATAGGATATATTAACATATTATAAAAATCTTTAATAAAACATTAACAAGTATAACAGATTTTTTTCAAAAAAAATCAGAAAAAAGTATTTAACAATATTTAACAGCTATCATAATATAATCTCCCAGTCAACTAGGAATAGAAAGGAACTTCCTCACTTTGATAAGAAGTATCTATGAAAATCTAAAGGTAATTCATACTTGATGGTAAAAGACTACATGCTTTCCCTCTAAGATCAGGAACAAGAAATGGATGTCCACTCTTACCACAACTATTCGATGTTGTACTGCAGATTACAGCAGTTTTAATAAGATTATATAAAGAAAGAAAAGGCATAAAAATCAATCTCTATTTGCAGATGGCATGATGGTTTACATAAAACATCCTAAATATTCTAAAAGAAACACTATAATTAACAAGTGAATTTATCAAGGTGGCTTGATACAAGGTTAATAAATATACAAACATCATTTGAAAATTGAAATAAATAGCAAGGGAATGTTTTAATATTCCATTTAAAATATCATGAAAAATACCACAAAAAACTTAGGAATAAATTTAGCAAATGACATATACGATTTTTACACTGAAAAATGGGGGAAAATTGAAGATTAATACTCTTAAAATGTCCCTTCTCACAAAATTGACTGATAGATTCAATGTATGTCCAATCCTAACCCAAGCAGGCCTTTTTAAGAAAATTGGCATACTTATTCTAAAATGTTTTAGAAATGAAAATGACCTAGAATATCCAGAACAATCTTGCCAAAGAACCAAGATAAAGTACTTACACTATAGACATTAGATGTGCTATACAGATACAGTAGTGAAGAAAGTGTGACACAGGCATAAAGAGTGACAAAAAGACCAGTAAAAGAATAGTGGAAAGAAAATGGTACATCCGAAAAGAAATGTAACATATTTGGATCAAATCTTAGAAAGGCTAGATATACCATCACTCCTCCAAATATGCCAAAGTTAATGTGGCCTTACTGTAATTTGGGAACAATTTCAGTTACTTAAATCTTCTTAAAATCGAAGTACTCTGCTTACTAATATATAGGAAACTAATACAACATGAAAAGATCCTAAAGATAAAAGGTGAATGAAACAAACAATAAGACAGATATATTAAATAATTGTTCAGATTTGTATATAAAGATACCAGAGTACCTATGTGAAAACACTGCTGCCTGGAATTTCTGAATTCATTTTATTATTATACCAGGTATACGCCAGTATTATACTATACTTATACTATCATCATGTCAGAAAAGCACCAGCTGTCAATCTTTACTTTGCTATAACAAGCCAAATAAGAGACTATTTCATGCTAAAAAAGAAAGAAATATTAACATATTGATTTAAAAAAAAAGTTTACAAAAGATAGGAAAAGTCACAGGGAAGAATGTGGAGAAACCAAAATAATCAGGTAATAGTCCAAAGGAATAAATGGCCTTAATGAAGTTACACACCTATCTTACTCAAAGATTCATGGTTTGGATATTTCTGTGTTTTTACTTAAAGCATAGAGATAAAGTTGACTCTCAGTGCCAAAACTGATAAAGGAATGCCACAAATGGATATCATCAGATCATCTTCAGGAACAAGAAGAAAATGGATCAGATTCCTTTTCCTACTCCTATGCCCTAGGCTTAAACACATATTCCCACCTCATTACTAAAGAAATTATTCTAGTTCATGTTTTGTGACTGTATAACAAGTTTAAAGATTTGTAGAAGGTAAAAAACATGTTAATCATGTGAATAATGATAAACATAGTACTCATTACTCATGGATTAAGAAATAAGAGAAGAAAAATAACAGTGAAGTCAAGAGTCTAATCAAAGACTGAATATCATTCACATTAGGTACAAAGGAAATGAAATACCTAGGAATATATTACACTTAACCAAGGATGGGAAAGGTCTCTACAAGGACTATGTAACACTGATGAAAGAAATCACAGATGGCACAGGGAATGGAAAACCAACTCATAATCATGAATTGGTAGAATCAACATTCTTAAAATCCTACTGCCCAAAGTGATTTACAGATGGAATGTAACTCCCATCAAAATACTAATGCCACATTTCTCAGAGCTAGAAAAAAATAATTCTATGTTTCATTTGGAACCAAAAAAGAGCCCAAAGAGCTAAAGCAATCTTAAGCAAAAGAATCATCTGGAGGCATCACATTACTAGACTTCCAATTATACTATAAGGATACAGTAACCAAAACAGCATGGCATTTGTATAAAAGTAGAGACACAAACCAATGGAAAAGAACAGAGAACCCAGTTATAAAACCATCTACTTACAACCAACTAATCTTGACAAAGCAAACAACATACATTGAGGAAAGGAAGGCTTATTCAATAAATGGTGTCTGGAAAACTGGAAAGCCAGAAGAATGAAACAAGACCCCTATCTCTTGCCATATACAAAAATTATTCAATATGTATAAAGGATTTAAGTGTAAGGCATGAAACTATAAAAATTCTAAAAGAAATGTAGGAAAAATTCTCGTAGACATCAGCCTATGCAAAGAATTTATGACTAAGATCCCAAAGGCAATTACAGCAACAATGAAAATAAATAAGTGGGACTTGATTAAATTAAAAAGCTCAGCACAGGAAGGGAAATAATCAACAGAGTAAAGAGACAATCTGCAGAATGGGAGACAATATTTGCAAACTACACATCCGATAAAGGGCTAATGCCCAGAATCTATAAAGAACTCAAACAAATCAGCAAGAGAAAAACAACCCCATTAAAAAGTAAGCAAAAGACACAAACAGAAGCTTTTCAAAAGAAGACAGACAAATGGTCAATAAACATATGAAAAAAATGCTCTACATCACTAATCATCATCGGGGAAATGGAAATTAAAACCACAATGAGATATCATCTTACACCTGTCAGAATGGCTATTATTAAAAAGTCAGAAAACAATAGATGCTGGCATGGATGCAGAGAGAATGGAACACTTATACAATGTTGGTAGGACTGCAAATTAGTACAACATCCATGGAAAGCAGTATGAAGATTCCTTCAAAGAAATAAATACAGACTTATCATTTGACCCAGCAATCCCACTACTGGGTATCTACCCAAAAGAAAAGAAGTCAAAAAGACATCTGCCCTCTAACATTTATTGCAGCACAATCCAGAGTTCCAAAGGTGTGGAATCAACCTAAGTACCCATCAATTCATGAGTGGATTAACAAAATTTGGTATACATATACCCTGGAGTACTACTCGGCCCTAAGGAGGAATGAATTAATGTTTTTTACAGTAAATTGGATAGAACTGGAGACCATTATCCTAAGTGAACTATTTCAGGAATGGAAAAACAAACACCATATGTACCCTCTAATAATTTGGAACTAATTGATGAGAACACATCAGCACAGAGAGACATAAAAGTCATAGGAAATCAAGAATGTAGGATGGGGGATGAGGGGAAGGGTCAAAACCTACTTATCAGGTACAATGAACAGTATTCATTTGATAGGCATACGAAGAACCCCAACTTCGGCATTATAAAAGCTATCCATTTAACATAAACATTTGTACTCCCTTAATATTTTGAAATTAAAAAAAGAAAATTAAATTAAATTGCTTCTGGAAGTTATAGCATAATTTTCATCCTAAGCATGTACACAAGATACTGGGTATAAAGCAATATGAAAATAGTTAATAAATATTATAATTCAAGTATGCTTATTACTTAGGATAGATAAGAGTGACATGAACAGCATTTTACTTGAATAATTATAAATTAGCAATAGCAAATAATAACAAATAAAAGGAAAAATCATTCTTATTCATATAATCAGTTACAAAATGCCAAATTTGAAAGTATTTTATAAAGATATAAATTCTATTCAATGTTATCATTATTATTGGGTGAAATTTTATTTTTATTGTTGAAATCCCTAACTATGAGGAGTCAATATATTTTATAAATAGCTAAGATGCTTACTTATACATGGGGCATGTTCTTTCAAATTTTTTTTCTTTTTACCAGCCTCCCCAAACATACCTTAGATAGTCTGTTGGAAGAATCACAATTATGTTCTGTGCATGGCTTGGGTCCTTTTTCAGTGTCTAGAGATGAAACTGAGAAAATATATTACATTTTATCATAGGTCTAATGTCCTATATCACAATATTTAACTGACTTTGGAAAAATGAAACAGATAATTTCTATATTTCATTTCCATTAAAAAACCTAAGGTAAATATTTGCTTTACATAAATCGGGAAAATTTCACTTCTACAGTGAACATAAGAATTAATCAACTTTCCTGATAATTAATATTTGGCTATTGATTTCATAAAATTTGAACAATGGAATTACTACAACTTTTATAACCTATATGTGTATACAATATGTATAAATGTGTGTGTATTCATTCAATACTTTATTTAACTCTATCTATATAATATAGTGTGTGTTATTTGGCTAACTAAACTCTTAATCTCTAACTACAAAGTGACAGAGGTCAGATAAACTATGATACAACACTGGAATGGAGTTGATTTTGAACTATGGTAGTAGCCATAGTAACTGAAAGGATAAACATATTCATGCATACACTCATTCATTTATTTAACAAATAATTGCCAGGAGCCTACTATTTGCCAGGTATTTTCCCAGGTGTTTGGGATAGATAAGTGAACAAAACCAACAAAATATCACTGGATTGAGCAATGCGTAAATGAATAATGGCTTTGCAAGATAATCTGAGAAAAGTTCCTATTGTACTACCCAAAACTTAAAATTCAAAGAAGGAATAAGAAAAAAAAATATGACATCAAGGATTTCCATTAATTAATCTTTCTAAATTATAGCATCAATCTCATTACCACAAAGCTCAAAAACCTTCAGTTACTCCCCACTATTCAACAAAATACATGGAAAAAGTATGATTTTGAGCCCTAGGTATATCACTAAGAAACAGAAACATATTGTATAATCTCTTCTGGAGATTTTCACTCTCTAATCTGTAAAACAAGGGGCTAACTAATGCAACCTTTGTCATTCTTTCCATCTATAAGAATATGATTAAAAACAAAAATACGGGGGCGGAGCAAGATGGCGGACAAATAACAGCGCCAGACAGAGTGTCTCTGCAGAAAAGACAGATTCTAGCAGAAATTAGAGGAAAGAAGCAAGAAGACGAGCATACAGCGGACAAGGGCCGGAAGGAGGGGTACCTGAGACCACGGGAGACTCCATGGGAGGAGGCTGCAGAGGAGAACTGGAGGCTGAGACCACCGGAGCAGCCCAGAGACCAGCGGCAAGGGTAGGTGGATTTGCTGTTTCCCCTCCCCTGCATTTAGGACTGCTGGTGTGCTCTCCAGCGGGTGGAGAGACCTGCGGACACCAGCCCAGAGACCGCCACCGCCGCCAGTCAACGGTGAGCCTGTAGCAGACGTGGCACCAGATTCCCAACTTCCTCCGGGCACCTCCGTGTGCACAGACCAAGCCGCGCGGCAGGCGCCATATTGCCTCCTCCTCCCCTCCGCCGACCCTACCCGCGGCTGCCCAGAGAGACAATACAGCCACCAGCCGGAGGCACCTCCAGGGAACGGGACCTTCCCTCCTGCGTGATTAGATCAGTCTGGAAAATCATTCGTATGTTCCTAGTCAACACCCAGCAATAGATTCAAATCCAAACTAGATCATCTTGAGAACTCGATCAATGGAATCGTCAGTAATGTTCATTGCCCATCCTTTTCTATGGATGTACTAAACAATCTCAATAAACAAATTCGAAATCTTAAGTATAGGTCATTTTCAATATAATCCATAATTACCCCCATCACACCATACACTCTTAATTGAGCATAAGCTCCCATAGTATCATAAGCCTACAATGCATCCCTTTCTACAAATTATCGCCCATACAAAGAAATTTGAATAGTGCTGTTAGTGAATCTATCTACTTTTATATCAGCTAAGGACATCTAAAAAAGACCCGGTTTTGTTTTTCTGTTGGTTTTGTTTTTTTCTACAGTGGAGGATACTATTGAATTATATCATCCGGGTGTGAAAGGATTAAATTAGAGGGCGAGGTCATGTAAACATATGGTTTATATTACAGTGTAGCCTTCCTCCAATGGCTCGTCCTGGATCGGTCCCACTGGTCTCAATTATGCATTTCAAATATTGTTCTTATTCCCCTTACCTGCATGAGTCATACTACTTGCCTTACATGTGAATTTTCTAACGCATATATCTTTGAATCCCGTAAACTTCCCATCCAGCCGATTTCTCGTGCTCGGGAGCATGTCGCCTTATGGTAAAAATATAATGTGTTACGCATTGTATGGGACCGACATAGGCCCACCCCTGAGTGGCCGCGAACTATCTGGTAAAAAGAGAGCAATAGTATTCTTATGGCCATGACCCTACCACAACACAATATGCGCCATGGCTTAACATGCAGATAATTTACTATACTTCTATATTTCTCTCTCCCACATAGGCTGAGTCTTTAATATCCTGGTTTATATAAACATGAGATTGGGTGTTTATTTTAAAACCGGACACACAAATATTCAATCTTCATGAGGATATTATAGTGGAGCTCTAGTAAATAGAGCATTATGATCTGACATGGACGATTGTGTAGAATCCTGATATAAACCATCCTCATATAGCAGCTAATCTTGACAAAGCAGACAAAAACATACGGCTGGGAAAAGAATCCCTCTTCAAATAATGGTGCTGGGAAAACTGGATAGCCACCTGTGAAGGCTAAACAGACCACACACCTTTCACTCTCACAAAAACCAACTCACGCTGGATAACAGACTTAACCTAAGGTATGAAACTATTAGAACTCTAGAGGAAAAAGTTGGAACACTCTCCTAGACATTGGCCTAGGCAAAGAGTTTATGAAGAAGTCCCCAAAGGCAATCACAGCAGCAACAAAATAAATAAATGGGACATGATCAAACTACAAAGCTTCTGCACAGCCAAGAAATAGTCATGAAAGTAAACAGACAACCTACAGAATGGGGAAAATTTTTGCATCTATGCATCGATAAGGGCTGATAACTAGATATACTTAGAACTCATGAAAATTAGGAAGAAAAAATCAAATAACCCCATGGAAAAGTGGGCAAAGGACTTGAACAGAAACTTTTCTAAAGAAGACAGAAGATGGCCAACAACATATGAAAAAATGCTCAACATCTCTAATCATCAGGGAAATGCAAATCAAAACCACAATGAGATACACTTAACCCCAGTGAGAATGGCCTTATCAAATCTCCAAACAATAAATGCTGGCGTGGTTGCGGAGAAAGGGGAACACTCCTACACTCTGGGTGGACTGCAAACTAGTTCAACCTTGTGGAAAGCAATATGGAGATACCTTAAAGCGATAACGTCGCTACTTCCGACCCCCAACTCCCATGCTGGCGCTCTACCCCAATGATCCACATCTGACACTCTACAAAAACACCTGATCAGCCTCCTGTTGCAGACATTCAATTCGGCTCGTCGGACAGCCCAAGCCCATCAATCAAGAATGGATTATACACAATGTCGTCTTATGTACATGGAGACTATTCGCTCTAAGAAGACAATGGTGACTATAGCACGATCGTGTATTATTTTCTTGCGTTAGAGCTGGAACCCATACTACTAAGTGAAGTATCCCAAGAATGGAAAACAAGCACCAGTTATATCT